AGTGAACCTACTTCCATGCTGCAATGTGAACATTTGCCATGTTCCTAAAAATTGACCACACAGACCTAGATCATACTGGACATATTTTCCATTATTACAGATTGATGTCTTGCATATACTGATTTTATCGATTACTCAAGAACATACAATATAATTAATACCAATTGTTTTCACTGTAAAAATAATTCCCATGGTTGTTCATATTCTCAATCTTACTTAATATTTACTTTTTAATAATATATATAAGGAACCGAATCAGGCTTAATCAAGATAGGTGGTCTATCACTTTAACAATCCCCAAAATTAACCTCCTGGACCGGACAAATACAAATTAACGAATGTTTAAACATTATATGCGTCTCTTTTTGTATGTTTTCTAAATAAGACCGCGTGCCCATACCCAACTGTAATAGCGATTAAAGCGATCTATTCTTTTAGTATTTATGTTAAAGCAAGACATTTATTTTATTACTGTTGTGGGATTAATCTTTGGAAAACACTTAAATTTAATAAGCACAAAAACATATGACATAAACACGACTGTATGTTGTGTTTTTGGAGGTCACCGACTCCGTTATTGTGAGAATTACTGACTGTCTCGTTGTTCGAATTCGTGATTCCCCCCGCTCCCTCGCGTACCCCCTCAGCCTCTTGCGTACCCCAGAGGGTACGCGTACCCTAGTTTGGGAACCGCTGATCTAAATCAAAAGATTAAATTATTTAAAGTTCAAAGTATTTTTAAAATCTCTGTAATTGAGTTAATAGTAATTCACTTAGAAATACAATTGGTATGAAATATAAACTTAACTACACCTTGAAACTTTATTATTTAGACTAGGAAAAAAATTAACATTTCCAAAATCAATCTAAAATAATTTAATTAAAATAGATCATAAAGCAATTTTGTACAGTGCACTTGCCGTTGTTAATGGTGTCTCTGCAGGACCGTTACCCAAAAAGGGAGGTCTTTGGGTAACAATCTGTGTCAGGTGTTGGACCTGGCTCTGCAACTCCCCCAACATTTGCAGAAGGATCCTCTCTGTTGCTGCAAGCTCAGCAATAGAGAATACAGCATTAAATATTTAGACATACATCGAGACAGATGTAGATGTAGATTTGTTTTCAGCTTACGTGTGCATTGACTTGGTATAAGTTGCCCTGTGGGTAACCGAGTTTTCGAAGGAACATCTGTAAGAATAAGAGTAAAAAATTACTCTAAAGCCCTAAGTGATCACAATTACTATTTTGTATTGTATTCTGATGTGCCAACTATTCCTAAACTTGCAGATAGTAAATGGGAATTAAATTTATCCTGTTCAAAAATATATACATTTTAGCACATCGATTGAAGTGATTTGTAAGGCTTAGTGATTGAGTGCAATATTGCACTCTAAATTACCTCTCATTCACACAAATAGCAATTCCAAAAAAAAAAACATGATTGTTTTGGAATCTTACTTTGTTCTCCTGAGAGGTGCAGAGGATGTTGTGGGACAGCTGGAGAGGATTTTCTTTCTGTAGGCATAAAGTTTTTCAGTGTTTAATTCCTGTGCATGCGCACACACAAACATTATTACATACATCTTATGTGCATATTTTCTACTGAATTTAACAGGGAACAAAATATCTTTTAAAACCACGTTTCTCAACCACTGATGGGCAGCGAAGGCTACAGATTGGGCCGCGAATTTAAAATCGAGACTGGCCATTGGTCCGTATAGGGCCGCCAGCACCACGTTTAAATCTAACCATGATGCATTGCGTCAGGACCAGAATGCATTGCTTTAAGCCAGCGTTGTAAGCCCAAGGTCGTGTGTGTATTGTGGGATTAACACTTTCAAACGAGGCTCTAAAACCATCAAAACTCAAGCGGCATATCGAAACAAAGCAACGAGGCTGAAGTTGGCTACTTATTCGCAGCTCCTTATTCGGATTTTTCCGGTCCACGTTAAATGCTTCTTTTTTCAGCTATTTGTAGAGGCCCCTGCTCCTTCATTTCAAAACGTCCCAAAAATCTGCCATTGCCATGTTATCGTAAGTAGATTTATTTCGGTGAGTTTTTACTGTAGCATTTTCTCATCATCACCTCCTAAACTTGGCACCAACACTCCATGGAGCCTCGTAACAAAGCACCCAAAACTTATCGGAAAGTCTTCACCCACAGTGGGACATCTCTCAATAGATCCCCACACAGGTGCACTCATATTTAAAATACTCTCATATAAACAGGATCTCAAATAAACATTAACGATGATAACAAGAAACATTTAACAATGTCCAGTATATAAAATAGCTATGTAAATCGTACCATACCCTATAATAATATTACAAGTAATATTACTATATTAAATAATATAATAATAATAATATTACTACTTCCAGAGAAAATAAGATCCGATGTGATACGTAGTTTTCCCTACCAACAAGCGACCTTTGACTTAAATGCGATGATCCGACATTTTGACGAGCAACGGTTTTTAACACCGCGACGGTCCGACGTTTTCGCAAATAAAACGCTATGTTTCGTAATGGAACGCGATCCGATTGCGACCATCCGCCGTTTATGCGACGTATTGCCTACAATCTGTGCTGACAGGGTAGAACATTATATAAAAGATGTTTTGTTTTTTTTATCATACTTACGGTCCCTTTTAGCTTTTGTTTTTATTTTCTTGTCCTCATTTTCAGTTTTTCCAGGGCCTGTTGTGCCAGTTTTAATCAAGAAACGATCCATTTCTCATCCGCGATGCTTCAGTTATATATATATAGCGAGAAAACGGGTTTACCGCAGTGCACTATGGGTTACGCACGTCAATTCCTAATGACGTTTCGAAATTCCGCAAAATGGTACATTTCCAAAGAAGTAAATATTACCGATGTTGCCGGGAAAAAATAATCGCGTCTAAGTGAAGATTTTTATAGATACTTCATAACATTTGGAAACCGTTTGAATGTTTTCTTCTCTACTTTTAATAAACTGACAGCGCGAAACCAAATTGTTTTGTATGAAAAATTCCGATCTTAAACGATCTATAGACAGCTCATGTAAATTACTGCGGTCAAGCTATCCGCACTTTGCCGAAACATGGTCAAATCATCCGCGCTTAAAATGTTTTGTGCACGCATAGACATGACATTACGGTATCAGCCGTACGGTTTAGTAAAATAGACTGCAAGCGATCGCGCATAGGAAAATGGTTAGTATTCCTATGTGCAAAGTACAGGATATACTTAAATGCAATTAATGTCTTGCTTTCCCATAATGTATGAACAAGTCATATGGCATCTGAAAGGCAACGTTCAAAGCTATTTCCTAAACAAATCTGGTCAGATTTAATATACTGTACCATTTAAAAGAATGCACTTTCAAATCCATATAATTTTATGTTATGAGCCAAGTGGGACAGCTCATTTCTCAGGATTATCCCATAAGGTACAAACATATCTGGTACCCCCTGAAAGGCAAGGCCATACCCTATACCTCCACCAAATTTGGTCAACTTTTATTGTACCATTTTTAAGAAAATGCATTTTGAAATCCATGGTTTTACAGTATAAGTATTGGAATATATGAGCCAAGTTTGACAACTCATTTTTCAGGGTTATCCCCTAAGGTACAAACATCTCTGCAAGCACATGAAAGGCAAGGCCCTATACTATACCTCCACCAAACTTGGTCAACTTTTACTGTAGCATTTTAAATAAAATCCACTTTGAAATCCATGGTTTTACAGTATATGCATTTATATATAAGTGCCAAGTTTCACAAGTCATTTCTCAGGATTATCCCATAAGGGCCTACACTATATCTCCACCAAATTTGGTCAACTTTTACTGTACCATTTTTAAGAAAATGCACTTTGAAATCCATGGTTTTACAGTATATGTATTGGAATATATGAGCCAAGTTTGACAACTCATTTTTCAGGATTATCCCCTAAGGTACAAACATCTCTGGAAGCACACGAAAGTCAAGGCCCTACACTATACCTCCACCAAACTTGGTCAACTTTTACTGTAGCATTTTAAAGAAAATCCACTTTGAAATCCATGGTTTTACAGTATATGCATTTACAGTATATATAAGTGCCAAGTTTGACAGGTCATTTCTCAGGATTATCCCATAAGGGCCTAGGCTATATCTCCACCAAATTTGGGCAACTTTTACTGTAGCATTTTTAAGAAAATCCACTTTGAAATCCATGGGTTTACAGTATATGCGTTGGCATATATGAGCCAGGTTTGACAACTCATTTCTTAGGATTATCCCATAAGGTACAAACCTATCTGGTACCCCTGAAAGGCAAGGCCCTACCCTATACCTCCACCAAATTTGGGCAACTTTTACTGCACCATTTTAATGTAATTTTACAGTCAATCTCTTTGGCATGAAACCCATGGATTTCAAAGTGGATTTTCTTAAAAATGGTACAGTAAAAGTTGAACAAATTCATTTGGTGTCTCCTTTGCTTGGACACACTGAAGAATTATTATCTTTTCTGTGTGGGGAGGCCACCATGACAGACCATCTCTGTACCAGTCTGCTGCCACTGGTACAATCCCCTCATCCACAAATTCAACAAGTAGGTACATTCCTAGCACATAGGGAACAGGTACTGCCACTTGCTGCTTTACATAAACAACTTACAAAATAGAATACGAAAGAAAAAGGATGGGGAAAAAATTCTAATATAGTTTTTTTTAGCTTGTGTGTAGTAGTGGAACAGAGACTAATTTGTCCTTGTACGGCATAACAAATGCTTTTTGTTGAATGTCTGACAATTTGCAAAATTCTGTTGTCTCCGAGAGCTTGTCCAATAAGTAAATTCCAAGAATGGTGGATGTAAGAGGGTATTCAAAGAAGGGATCTTGTTGGAGAAATAGGCAGTAAGCAATGAAAGTATTGTTCCCTTGTGTGAAAATATTTAGCAACTTTGTTATTTAGGTAAACATACCTGTTGGCTAAATCTAATTTTATAGAAAAATCTTCTGTTCTCACTTCATGAAACTGATTAACAGGCTGGAATAATTGGGGAAGAGGTCCAGAAGAATGTTGCTTGAACAAAGCAATTCGATTCCTGCTTTTAGCTGTAATTTGGGGCCTCTCTGACAGTCTTCTCACCAGCTGACAGAGTGGGCTGCCCGGTATTCGAATAAGCCTCTTAATCAGATAAAGAAATGATTCAAATTTTAAAAAATTTCAAGCACACCATACATTTTAACATTTTGTGCCAAGTGCACAAGATTGTGTACATTGTAGGACATGAATTTTTCACCATAGAGCTCCCAGAAATGGTTCAGAAATGAAACTAAAATGTTTTCAGCATAAGCAAGATAGGTTTTAACCAGGTTTTAGCTGGTTAAAATAAATAGTCCAACGAAAAGTAAAAGGAAGTTGTGGTATATTATTGGGTCAAGTGTGTCTTTTAACAAAACAGGGCCAGAGTAAACCAGAAACTGCCTGAACTCCGTAGCTTTCCATCTGTCCAGCTCTCTCAGAGACCTTGGCCTTCGTGAAAACTCCAGAGGAACATGTTTCTGGAACTGTGTGAAGCTGTATGAAAGCATGTTGACCGTTGAGGCAGGCAGTCCGCAGAACAGAGGGCCTCGAAGCCACACCATCAGCAGCTTGCGTACAACACCCAAGCAGACAAGGTGCCTGTAGTCTAGCGGAAGACCTGTCATCATTTTTAATGATGTTTCCTGTAGTAGTTTGGGACCATGACGATGATCTTCATCTGTCTGAGCTAAAAAGGACTCATTAGTTCTCAATCGAGCATCACTTTCTGGGAATACAACTCTGTTTTCAATGTATTTGCCCTCCTGAGTGCATTTTCCACAGCCATTGTAACCAGAGTGTCCTTTAATGTTTTTTATAAATGCACATGCTGGAGCATCACAGACTACTGTGAGGAGCCTTATAGACATGTAGGTTCCTTAATAATCAAATCCCTTTTCTAGGTCAATGACTTCTGACACAATGTCATGTAGGAATGCATCTAGTGATCGAGGCTTTTGATTGCCACAGTACAATCCTATTATAAAAGGTTCATGTTCTGGAAGATTTTCTATGATTCCAAGTATAGGCCAAAATTGTGTAGTGAAACTTTTAAATAAAGGCAAGCCATCAATGTTATTCTGGAGGTCCAAAAGAGGTGTCTCCTTTAAAAGATCCTTGTGTTTTGTAAAATGTGTCTAATGGATGTGAGCACACCAAAATGATAATACTGGCCACCACCATATATCCTTACAGCTAATCTGACTGCAACAAACTGTCCCAAGCAAGGTCCTTGCATCTAGAGGGAGATTTGGATGGTGATCTGATAGGATCCTGAGAAGCCCATTTAATGCAGAATGTGTTATGTTGAAGTGTACAGCCCATGACGCCAGACTGCTTTCCAGAGACTCTGGAAAATCTCTGTCTGAGTCAGAACTTGATTCAGTCTCGGTGAATTCAAGTGCATCAAAAAATTCATCATCTGGAGACTGACAGTCCTCGAACTCCTCAGTTGCTGTCTCTGTTTGAGAGTCCCAACAGTGCAATCCTTGTAAATGTTGTGATTGTAGCTTTTCATCAACCAAAGCTTTAGCCTTTCTTTTTAATGTCCAGTAAGAGGATGAAGTGAAAGACATACTATTGTCAGAGAACAAGTAGTAAACACAAAAGCTCAGTGTTTCTGTAGTGTATAAAATGGAAAACTGTACATTTGCATTAATTATAAATCAACCAAAAATCTTTTGATATGGGAATATGAATTATGGATTAGTGGTTTAATTTGTAGTAGAGGGCTTTTATAAAGATTGAGATATGACGAAGAATTATAGAAGCAAGAAAGCTGTTGATTTGAAAATATGACATTTAATTACTGGATTGTTTAAAGTTTGAATCAGAAATATGCGCTATGGCTTTTCTTAATTATTAAGTACTATTAAATATTTTTTTGCATTACTTTTACAATTTCAATTCCTCTATTCACCTTAAAACACATATTGTATTATATGTGTCATGCCCAGCTCCGTACAATCCTTGTGTATGCCACGCCCACCTCGTTACCTCGTGTTTATGCCTGATTGTTCTCCACTGTTGCTCGTTAAACTCAGTTTGTCTTGTGTATTTAGTCCACGTCTCAGTTAGTTTCCCCCAGATGTGTCATCATCGATAGCTTGTGTGAGTACCAGTCCTGTCTGTTTGACTGCAATAAACCCCGTTCTTCCGTCAGCCTGGTTGCTCTCGCCTCCATTGCCTGCTCGCCGCTCGCACAGCGTGACAATATGTAAACTCTCAGAATCTCAACCGGAAATAACTACAGTGGTACCTCAGTTATCGAACTCATTAGAACTTTAATTTCTTAAAAGTCGAACCAACCAGTTCGAAAAAAAAATTACCTAGAGCTCGATCTGAATCTCAGAAGTCAAACCGTAAATGCTGACCTAAAATAACTTGTACGAGCTGGGAAATGAGTCATGCAGCACGCCTTTCAGCGGAAACAAAGGATCAGCCTCGCATTCGCTGTGATAGCACCATGCATGTTTACACTAACTGAACACAGTGATACCTAAGTTCTCAAACTCATTAGAACTCAAATTTCTTAAAAGTCAAACCAACCAGTTTGAAAAAAAATTACCTAGAACTCGATCTGAATCTCAGAAGTTGAAACTGTGAACTCCAACCTAAGATAACTTATAGGCGCGGGGAAATGAGTCACACCGCAAGTCTCTCAGCGGAAACAAAGGGTTAGGGTTATGGTTAGTCTCAGTCTGGCATTCGCTGTGATAGCATCGTGCATGTTTATACTAGCTGAATCATATATTTAGACAGTAAAAATACACTGACAATGATAGTAACAGTAATTATTATATACTAAAATACATTTAAAAATAAAGATCTTATTAATTATTTTAATATGAATAATAAAGCATTAATACGTTTAATTATAATAATATTGTTGTGCTGAGCGGGGACAGAACGGAGACAAAGGTGCAGACGTCAGGGTATCGAGGAATACGCGGTTTAATTACAGGTAAGGCAGGCAAAACACAGACGGACAATACAATGACCGAACTGGGGAAACAAACTGAAACGCGGACGAAATACGCAGGACAAATGACAACAACCAGAAACAGCTGATCACACGGGGATTCCACACGGGGTTAACGA